CCATCCCTGGGAGTGTTCCAGGCCGGGACTTTTTTTTAGGCACTGGCACAGGTTGCCCAGAGCAGCTGTGGCTGCTCCATCCCTGGGTGTGTTCCAGGCCAGGTTGGATGGGGCTTGGAGCAGCTTGGGCTGGTGGGAGGGGTCTTTGCCCAGGGTAGAGGGTGGGATAGGATGGGATTTCAGGTCCTTCCCACCCAAACCGTTCCAGGATTAACTCCAGGAAGGACGAGCTGGCACGCTGGGCACGGCCCTGAGGGCAGCTGGGAAAGAGGAAGCAGCTCTGGGAGGAGAGTATGGGCTCCCCCAGCCTTCCCAGGGGACTGAGGCCAAAGCCTCGTTCACTCCTCCTCCCAGAACCCTTCGAGGCTCCTTCCCTCAGCTCTCCCTGGTTCTGTGTGCCCTGCTGGAGGCAGTTTGTGCCCTCGCACCGGGCGGGGGGGACAGTTTTCCCTGTTCTGTCCCTCCCTGTTCTGTCTCTGCTACCCTCAGGGCACCTCATCCTCCCTTGCTCCCTCAGCCCCTCCCTGGTGGCTGCTGCCATTCCAGAGCCGTGGGATGAGGTTCCCTCCTCGTGCTGGGACTGGGGAGGAGTCATGTCCTGCCCCTCCCAGCTCCAGGAATCCCTGGAGTGGAGTAGAGTTCTCTCTCCCTGTCCAGCATCCTGTCCCCTTCCCATCCTGTAGCCAACCTCTAGGACATTTCTACCCACAAACTTATGTTCTTCCCAGCTTTTTATTCCTTAAATTCCCTTCAGCACCACAGTCCCATCCTAGTTCCTATGGGGTTCCCAAGGGAATGCCCAGTGCTGGGCCTTTCCCTTTTTGTTGTGCTCATCCAGCCTGGCCCTTCCCAAGGTTTGTTTGCCAGGTCTGAGGCCTCATTCATCCCAGGGATTTCCCAGGTGCTCTGGGTCCATCCAGCATGTTGTGCTCCTTCAAGCTGCTGTCCAGCACTTGCACAGGGATGAGGAAGTGCCTGGGAGGTGTGTTGGGAAGGAAAGGCCTTTCTGCCTCATTTTTGTGCAGGGAGACCAAGATTGGCCATTTTGGTGCCAGTGAGGGCAAACAGGAGCTGCAGCCTGGGGGGAACAGGAGCTGCAGGATCAGGAGGCCTTTCCTGGAGTTAAGGCCTCTCTCTCCTCCCCAGCCAGGCACCGCTGGGAATGTTGGAGCTCCTGGATTTTACACATCTGAGATAAAAATGATGTCTAACTGTGATGTGGAGGTGACTCTGTGCCCTCAGAGCTCTGAGTGCCAGAGGGAGCTGAGGGCAGTGTCCTGCAGGGGTTGCTCCTGCCACCTGCACATCCAGCTGGGCCTCTGTGAAGAAAACAGGGGGAGAGGAGCTCCTGACATTCCTGGAAGCTCTTCCCTCCCCATCCTGCTGCCCTATCCCTGCTAAACACTCCCTCAGGGTGGGATTTCCCTGGGTGCTGATTTGCAGCCCTGGTCAGCACTGCTTGGAGCTGCCTGAGGGTGTGGAAGGCTGTGTCACAGGGAGTTTTGGGTGCAGAAACAGCTTCCTGTGCCATTGGTGGTCACAGCCCGTGAGTAATCGTGCTGTCTGTGCTGAGCCTGTGGCTCCCAGAGGGATTATCCAGCCTCTGGCTCTGCGGGATGAGGGTTTGGGGGGCTCTCCAGGTGCTCTCACTGCTGAGTTCTGTGTCTGTGTCTATGCAGGCTGGGAATTGTCTGCCTGTTCTTAGAGCAGGAAAGTATTCCCCAAGAGGGTTTGGTGGGATTTGGCTGTTGTAGTCGTTGAGTTTCTTAGCTTTTGTTTATTCCCAGCTTGGGAAGTTCCTGGTGAGGATAAATACATCCCTCAGCAATGCCTCCAGGTTTTCCTCACTCCCTGTTGCTAGTTCTGCTCCAGAATAGCGGGAAGTACTGGAGTCAGTGACCATGGAGCAGCCCATGCCATGGGGGCAGATGGAAAACAAGGATCAAAGCCTGGGAACAGCAAATGAGCTTGTCTGGAAGCTCTGGAAAGACTCCTGGACCATCCCAGTGGTGGTGCTGGACGAGCATTCCTATGGGGAAAAGGTGCTGTGTCCTGTGGGAAGCTGCAAGGAGCAGAGCTCCCTGCTCCCACCTGGATGTGGCAGGGATGGATCCTTTGCCTCCCTCAGCCCTGTGGATGTGACACTTGGGGTCATGGGACAGTGCTGGGAACAGCGCTTGGACTCAGTGGACTCCAGCGGCTTTTCCAGCCCAAAGGACTCTGTGCGAAGGAGGAAGGGAGAGGAGGTTGTAGGACATGGAGTGCTGAGGGTCCCTGGATGGGCAGGGACACCTCCCACCAGCCCAGGCTGCTCCAAGCCCTGTCCAGCCTGGCCTGGAACAGTCCCAGGGATGGAGCACCCCCAGCTCTCCCAGCCTGGCTCCAGGGCAGAGCTGCTCCAGCCCTAGGAGCATCTCCGTGGCTCCTCTGGGCTCACTCCAGCAGGAGAAGGATATGTTTTCATGGAGGTTTGGGCCACGTGTGCCCCCCTGCCCCTCCACTGACCATGCCATGCTTTTCCCTCAGGTCCATGCGTGGGAGATCTCGGACCAGCTGCTGCAGATCCGGCAGGATGTGGAATCCTGCTACTTTGCGGCACAGACCATGAAGATGAAGATCCAAACCTCCTTCTACGAGCTCCCCACAGACTCCCATGCCTCCCTGCGGGATTCCCTGCTCTCCCACATCCAGAACCTGAAAGACCTTTCCCCAGTCATCGTCACCCAGGTGGGAGCTGCTCCTCTGTGTCCTCAGGGAAGGCTCATCCCTGCCCTGTGTGCTCCTGGGAATGGGGGACAGGGAAGGCTCATCCCTGCCTGGCCCAGGATTGTTTTCCCTCCTTCATCCCTTGATTACTTTAGTTTCATCCATTGCTTCATCCTCATTGGAAGAGGAGGTGCAGCTCTTCCTGGAGTTTTCCCTGTGCTTTGCCATAGGGACAAAACCCAGCACTGCTCTGGGGATTGCTCTGCTCTCTTCCCTCATCTTCTGTGTAGCATTCCCATCAGCCACATATTGCTGTTGAATGGGGGGTCTGACACCCACAGGCTGTCCAATCCCTAAATATCCCAGCAGGGAATATCACACCTCAGGGTGTCAGACAGGGATGTTATGGTTGGATTCTGGAGTACCCTTCATGTTGGGGATGGATTCCAGAGTTCCCTGTCAGCAGGGAATGTAGGGGATGGATTCTGGAATTCCCTGCCCAGAGGGATGTTGTGGATGGATTCTGGAATTCCCTGCCCAGAGGGATGTTGTGGATGGATTCCGGAGTTCCCTGCCAGGGTGGATGCTGGGGGTGGATCCCAGAGCTCCCTGCAGTTCCTCTCCCAGCCGGTGCCAGTGCTGATCCGTATGTTTCCCTTGCAGCTGGCTCTGGCCATCGCGGACCTGGCACTGCAGATGGCTTCGTGGAAGGGCTGTGTGCAGACCCTGGTGGAGAAGTGAGTGAGCTCAGAGTCGCATCCATGGGCAGGAGGTCCTGTGTGCTCTGGGAAGGGAAGTTTCCTGCCCTGTTCCCTGACTCCAGTGCCTGGGTGGTGGCAGGGAGGGGCTGCCTGTGGCTCTGTGTCTGTGCACAGCCAAAGCCATGGCTCAGCACTTTGCCTCATCCCTGCTTTGTTTGGGGCTGATCCCTCACTCCCAGCTCCAGCTGGAGCAGAGAGGCCAGACCAGTCCCTGTTGGATGTCCCAGGGACAGCACAGGAATGTCACACACTGCTGCAGTGACACGGAGCCTGTGGACACCCACAGTGGCTCTGTGTCTGGTGGGATGGGATTTATCCAGGCTATGGCACTTGGACTCATGGGCTGGGAGAGCCTTTGGCACTTCTCTCTAGGAAACCTTGGGCTGAGCCACTGCTGGAGGCTCCTCCTGGAGCCTTGCAGGGACACTGTCCTGAGCCTCTGGAATCAGGGAAACAGGGAGTGGTTTGGATGGGAAGGGACCTTAAAGCCTCTGCAGTGCTGAGCCTTTGGAATCAAGGAATCAGGGAGTGGTTTGGGTGGGAAGGGACTTCCCAGTCTCCTCTCCATGCCCCAGGATGCCCCTCGTGCTGTCCCTGTGTCCCAATGCTGAGCTGTCCCTGTGTCCATGTCCCAGTGCTGGGCTGTCCATGTCCCTGTCTCCGTGTCCCAATGCTGAGCTGTCCCTGTGTCCATGTCCCAATGCTGGGCTGTCCATGTCCCTGTCTCCGTGTCCCAATGCTGAGCTGTCCCTGTGTCCATGTCCCAATGCTGGGCTGTCCATGTCCCTGTCTCCGTGTCCCAGTGCTGAGCTATCCCCTTGCCTGTGCCGAGCTGTCCTTGTCCCCGTGCCAAGCTGTCCTTGTCCCTGCATTGAGCCACCCTGTCGTGCAGGTACAGCACGGACGCGACGTCGCTGCCGTTCCTGCTGGAGATCCTGACGGTGCTGCCGGAGGAGGTGCACAGCCGCTCCCTGCGCATCGGCGCCAACCGCCGCACCGAGATCATCGAGGACTTGGCCTACTACTCCAGCACTGTCGTCTCCCTGCTGGTCAGCACTGGGGCTGGTGGCTGCTCCCAATTCAGCCAGGGAATGCTGGAGCCCTTCCTGGGCACAGTGGGGACAGTCACTGCCCAGGCCCTGCCTCGGCCCTGCCTTGGCTGGGAGGGGACACAGTGGGGACGGTCACTGCCCAGGCCCTGGTGCCTAAGCTGGGTGGAGACAGTGGGGAATGAGGGAAATACTCCAACTGTTCTTCCCTCTCCTGTGGCCACAGCCAGAGTTGAGGGAGAGGGTCTTGGCTCTGTTCTCCCCTTCACCAAGCTCAGGGCTGTTGGGACAGGACCACTGTCCTCCTGTGGTGATTTGCCATGGGCTCGCCCTCTGGAATGGGGTCCTGACCAGCTCTCCCATGTTCCTGCAGGTGACATGTGTGGAGAAGGCAGGAAACGAGGAGAAGATGCTCATCAAGATCTTCAGGTGCCTTGGGAGCTGGTTTAACCTGGGGGTCCTGGACAGCACCTTCATGGCCAACAGCAAACTGCTGTCCCTCCTCTTCGAGGTGCTGGTGAGTGTGTCCTGGGAATTTGGGGTGCCAGGAGGGGCACAGGGAAGGGGTTCATCCCTGCTGAGTCAGGTAGGGACCCTTTGATTCCCTCTGGATCAGCTCTACGGGGTGGGTGGTCCTGCTTTGCTGGGAAGTGCGAGCTGGGAAGTGTCTGGCCAGTGTTCCACACTGATCCCTCCAGACCATCCCTGGTCAGTGTTTACACTGATCCAGCCAGGAGAGGAGCAGCATGGTGATTTCCTTCCCTTGGAGCTGCCCTGGATTCCAGCCGGCATTTTCCCCCCTCTGTTTTCTGGGAAGTCACCATGGGAAGGGGCCAGGTGTGACCTAGAATCTGCAGGGAAGCAGCTTGTGGGGCTGGTGAGAATCAGCTCTGGGGGCTATGGCTGCAGAACCTCTGCCAAGCGTTCTCATGCAATCCTTTGGGTTGGAACAGACCTCCAAGGCCAAATTCCACTGTTTTGGGAAAACAAGGACACAAAACTGGGCTGTTTCTTTACTGTCTTGTCTCATAGTACAGAGGTGGGGAGTGTTTGTCCTGCCAGGGCTGCAGGGAGAGGATGAGAAGGAATGGCCTTGAGCTGAGCCAGGGCAGAATCAGAGAAGATATTAGGGGAAATTTCTTCCCTGTTAGGGTGTTCAGGCACTGGGATATTGCCCAGGGAGGTGGTGGAGTCACCATCCCTGCCGATGTTTCAGAGGTGTCTGGATGTAGCACTGGAGGATCTGGTTTAGGGGTTACAGCAGTGACAGGTTAATGGTTGGACTTGATGACCTTAGAGGTCTCCTCCAGCCCTGATGATTCATTCCATGGCTCTCTGGTTCTATAATCCCTGGGCTCCTGCCTTGCAGCAACAGGACAAGACCTCGTCCAACCTGCATGAGGCGGCGTCGGACTGCGTGTGCTCGGCTCTCTACGCCATCGAGAATGTAGAGACCAACCTGCCCCTGGCTCTGCAGCTCTTCCAGGGTGTCCTCACCCTCGAGAGTGCCTACCACATGGCTGTGGCTCGAGAGGACCTGGACAAGTGAGTGGCAGCTGCCCCAGATGGAGGGACAGGCAGCAGTGACTGGGCTGGGGTTTGTCAGCCACCAGGTCAGTGACATCAGTGTCAGGAGCAGCACTGGTGTGGGCACAGCCCCAGGGCAGGGACTGTCCCTATGCTGGACCTGCTGAGCCACCTCCAGGCCTAGGGCAGCTCTGGGCCCTCAGGACAGCAGAGACACAGAGGGGCTGGAGGTGTGCAGGGTAGAGCATGGAGCTGGGAAGGGGCTGGAGCAGAGAGGCTGAGGGAGCTGTGGGGGCTCAGCCTGGAGAAAAGGAGGCTCAGGGGAACCTTCTGCTCTCCCCAACTCCTGCCAGGAGGTGCAGCCAGGTGGGGTCAGGCTCTGCTCCCAGGGAACAGGGACAGCACAAGGGAAACACCTCGGGCTGTGCCAGGGGAGGCTCAGGTTGGATATTGGGACAATCTTTCCAGGAGAGGGTTGTAAAGCATTGGAAGGGGCTGCCTAGGGCAGGGCTGGAGTCACCTCCCTGGGGGAATTTAACAGCCATGTGGATGTGGCACTTGGGGACAGGGTCAGTGTTGGCCTTGGCACTGCTGGGAAGGGTTAGGCTGGAGCTGTGTCACGGCAGTTGTCCTCTGCCCTGTCCCCTGTCACTGCTTCTGGAGAAGTGCAGTATCAAAACCTCATCAGATTTGCTTGTTGGCCCCACTCTGTGCCCCAGCTTCCCCTATGTGAGTCTTTCCCCCTGCTGAGGGAGCTGACACTGGGGTTCCTCCTCCTGGGTGTGTTTTAACCCGTCCCTGCCCTGTGCTGGGGTGTGAGGGCAGGAGCTGAGCTGTGCCCTATGCTGTGCCCTCAGGGTGCTCAACTACTGCCGTGTGTTCACCGAGCTGTGCGAGACCTTCCTGGACAAGATCGTGTGCAGCCCAGGGCAGGGCCTGGGCGACCTGCGCACGCTGGAGCTGCTGCTCATCTGCGCGGGGCACCCACAGTACGAGGTGAGTGGGCTCCCACCCAGTGCCCCAGGATGAGATCTGGGGGAAATCGTGCCCTTCTCTCACCACGTGGTTGTGGCCTTGGCTTCTGTGAGCTGGTGGCTCTGCAGCACCTGGTCTGTGCTCACGGGGCAGAACAACTGCTTGGCTTCCCCTTCCTGCTGTCCTGGGATAGCTCCCAAACCCCTGTGGGTGCTTTTTCCTGTGTGGAGCTGGTAGGGATTGTGGCTCCTGGGAACTTTGTCCCCTTAGTGAGGGAAATGTTGGTTCACATCCATCTCCCTCCTGCTCTCATCGCTGGGATTTGGTTTGTTTTTAGTCTTTATTTAATCCTTTATCATTTGATTCTTCCCATTCTGTTGGTTCAGTCCAGCAGCTGCTCCCTGCCTGATTGCCAGTGGGTGTTCTGTGCCTTCCATGGCAAAGCAGCTGTGCTGCAGCAGGTTCCAAACTCCGTTTTCCTCCCTTCCCAAATCTCCTAAGCCCAGTTTCCCTCGGCCATGACCTCGCCCTGTGCCAGCAGTGCTGAGTGGGATGTGGAGCTCTGCGGCTGCTCCTGAACCAATCTGCACCTGTAGTTTTGCTGCCAGAACCACCTAATAAATAACTAACGTACACAGAGGAGCTGTGGAGCAGCTCCCAGATGGAAGTTCCAGGGGTGGTGCCAGGTCCAAGGAGAGACCTTGGATTCCAAGGGCTGGGGCAGGTGTGCAGGGGAACCTGGTGGGCTCCAAGCCCTTTCTCAAATGACAAGCAGAGAGGTTGGTGGATGTGGGGGACCTGTCCAGCAGCACTGATCAGGGTCCCTGTGACTACCGCTGCCACCCCAGGAAGGGCTTCTCCATCCCCCCAGCTGAGTGTAGGGGGGAAGCGTCCTGCTGGTAACTAAATGGTGGATTTTTTCCTTCCAAACAGGTGGTAGAAATTTCCTTTAACTTCTGGTACCGGCTGGGGGAACACCTGTACAAGACAGACGACGCTGTTATCCACAGCATCTTCAAGGCCTACATCCAGCGCCTGCTGCACGCGCTGGCGCGGCACTGCCAGCTTGACTCTGACCACGTACGCGCTTGGGGCCTGGGCTGGGGTGGGCTCTGCCTCCCCCTCGGGGATGTGCTCTCGCCTGGGGGCAGCCATGGCAGTGGGGTGTGCTCTCCCTCCTCTCCTCAGGAGGGTGTCCCAGAGGAGACAGACGACTTCGGGGAGTTCCGGATGAGA